AAGAAGCCTCACTACCGTTGGTAAAGTATGGACTTGATTTGTCTGCTCACATCCGGGGCACTGCATGGTCCAGCCCTGCTCTTCTCAGAGCTCCTGCCAAGCGCTGCCCTGCAGGCCTTCCCATCCTCCATGAGTGTGAGCTTACACGGCCATTCATCTCCGGGCAGCTCTGTGCACCGTCACTGACAACCCCCTCCGCATCTCATACACACCGGGCTGCTCCCCTACTAAAACTCTCCAGGCCACGTGCTGTTACACATCTCCTCCCCCTGCCATGCTCCCAGCTGTTCTGTGCTGTTTTGATGTGTCTGTTTGCATAGCACTGTCAGACTTTGTGCATGAAAGGTGTTTTGTCGATGTGGCTGGTTTTAAAAACGTTTCTTTAAAGAACGTACCTCAGTGATCTGTGGGAAAATGGAATCTTGAAACCCCAATGGTGGAAGTCAGGAACTACTCCTTGCATCTTTGTCAGAGGGGGACTTAACAGATATTGACAAGGAAAAGAAGCCCATTAAACTATGACCATGATTCTACCAATATAAAAGAAATGGGAGTCGCTCCCCAAAAAATCCAATGAGAGTAGGCAATGGTGACATGTAAAGAGATGGATCTAAGCATAGAATGAAAGGCTTAAAAGTGCAAATGCACATTAAAAAGTAGATACCTCCATGCAGAACTCAAGTAAATGTAATTGTTAGCTTTTTCTTGGTCACCAAGTGTTAGAGCAACAAGAGACCCACCCAGAAGGGAACACAGCAGAAAAGGGTATTGGGCTTCCCACTTACTGCTTCCTGAAAGCCTGGGTGGAATCTACCCGCCCCTGCACTGCCATCAGATTGGCCTGATCGCTCTCTTAGATAAAGGATGATTCAAGAATTTTTTTTTCCACTTAAGCAGATAAGAAAACCCCAATATCTGCAACATCTCTACTGGACAAAACTGGCAATGTAGGAAGGGAAGACAAACTAAAAAGTAAAGCAAGACTAGGAAAGAGAAGGCAGAGACCACTTCTGTGGTAGGAAAAAACTTAGAAAATTCATTTTTAGCAAAAGTACCATGCAGACTGTCTACACATATTCAACCATTTCTTCAAAGGATGAGTTTGGTGTTTTAGACTGAAAAAACAGCCTCACTTCTGGTTATTTTTCCGGTCTTTTCTCACCAAGTTTGCTATATTTGACTGTGGGTCTTATAAAGACAGGCTTTGAGGGCACGAGTAGTATTTGCTGCTCAAAGTCTGGCTGGAGCCAAGATGTGTGGGTAACATGCACTTCTCTGCGATTTTTTTTTTTTTTTTCTTTAATCCTCCAACAAAGTTTGGCCCTCACTTTGCATGCATTCCTTATGTTAGCTCAGGGTCTTTGCCAATCTCCCACATGCTATCTTTGGCCAGTGCTGCCCTTAAAAGATAACTGGAAAAATATGCTCTTTGGTTTGTTTAATAGCTGAAGAAAAACTGACACAACCGACGGCTTTATCTGCTCAAGTATTTTTGGATGACTTGGTCTCTCTGTGATCCCCTCCTACTCCCATATGAAATTGGAGATTTCCAATTCTTCCAACATGTCAATTTATTTTGGACAGTTTTTTACTTAACTAGTCAAAATATTATTTCACAGGCATTATCTAATGTGTTAGTACTCAAATGAAGCTTTTATATTGATATTTTCCTCTTAGGAACAAGAAATCATATTTTTCTGTTAAAAATAAACGTTCCATGGGCAACTGGCACCATATACCCTTAAGGTATTTGTGGTTCTGGCTTTCTCTAATAAAACCATTTAGTCCAGTCATAATTTTTTTAAATAAAAATCAATTATATAAACATTCCAAACCTCTTCCTATCCCTTCTCAATATTCAAGTCCTGGGTTTAGAATCTTATCCACTCTTTTCTTTGTTTCCACATTCTCAAATTCTTGTGCCCTCTACTCCAAATAGCTGTAGGATTCCATTTAAATCCTACCAGATTCTTTTTACAGCAGAAATATGATTTCTGAGGTCATTGCTAGACTACCCCTACTGCCTAATATGTGAAAATGTCCTCATCACACACCCCCAATTATTTTTAAAGTTGTTCTTCAAAATTAAAGAAAAGTAACAAAGCCCTGAAAATAGAAAGGCTAGAACATGCTCTTTTCCTTTTATCTTTCCTAGGAATGGAATTTTTAAACACAAGCCTGTGTCAGACATTGAACAGTCTCCACACGGGAATGAATGTTTTGATTAAAAGTTATTTAATATCTCTGGTTCCTGGAATTCTGCCTAAGCTGGAGATATTCTTAGCTACAGGTCTGTGCTTTGTTTGACCAGATAGAAAATGGCTCAAAATATAGAGGGAATAAATGGCATTCTCAAAATAGTTGCTTGATTCATACAGGTATACCCGTCACAGAGGATACCGATAGGCACAAATTAGGAAGGAATCAGAAGAGGAATGGGTCAAAGCAGCATCTTTCTACATGCCATCGTTATATTCCCTTTAGGTTATATTCCCTTTAGGTTGGAATTGGGCTTAGCATATTACATTTGTGTGGCAGACCTTAAGGAGAGAATTTTGTGTAGTTTGTTTATAGCTTTCATAATTTACATTTGTATCTAGATCACCTCAAGTTAAACAAAAGACACTTAAGAAGTTGGTAGTGAAATATGATTTTTAATTGCTTTCAGTGTAAAATAATGGGGAAGATTCTCATAGCAATGAAATGACAATACAAAGGAAAAAAGAAAAATATATTCCAAGATCCATACAGAATTTTGACTCAGTGTTATTTAGCTTTAGAGTAGTATTGTTCCCGGTACAACCTCTTGTCTTTGATTATAACTGTTTTGGAGCAGAATATCTACAGACCACTGAATGATCTTTCCAGCTTGCCCACAGCATTTCATGCATTTAGATATTGATGCACCATAGTTAGAAGCTGGGCCCTCCGGACTTGTATTGTGTGATGGCATTGTGCTGCTATCATCACAAGATTTCATTATTTCCAACCCACAAGGTCCTGTCTGTACTTGTTTACAGGTCATCTGGATGGTAACTTCTATGTGTTCAGTGGCATGAGTGGTATCACAGTAACCATGGCAACCAAGCTAGCTCTGATTTCAGAACCTCACATGCGGTATCATAAAATTAGATAACAGAATTGACATCTAGGTATGTGTCTGTCATATAAATTAAGCTCTGAGAATAATTTTCTTTACAGTCATGTGCCTTAATATGGAAATAGAAGGTACCAATTACAACAGTTTTATACATATATATAGTGTTCCACATTTAGGTACTGAATTTCCCAAATTCTTTATAGTATCAAATCTCACATATTGTCATATTATTCCCACTGTGCCAAATTCACAGTAGCTCTATTTTCTGATCAGGACAAAGTATATAGCAGAGCTTCATCAGATACCTGATATAAATAGGATTATGAATAATAGAAGACTCAGCCTGTAAAAAATGTAAAATTCAAAGCATTCTTAGCTTTACTGGGTGCTGTTATTTATGCTGATTGGAAGTAAGACTGAGCACAGAATATTCTGCTAACTGAATCAGAATCTCAAAGGCAAGACATGCTTCCCTTTCATTTATATGTTTATGCATATTTTTACACATATTATTCCAGCATCCAAGAATTTTTGATAATATCTTTATTTCAAAAAGATTCTAACCGAGCAGACTGATGCATTCATCAGCTTTGAGCCCTAGGTTTTCTTTTATAATTTGCAAATATTTTAAACTCAGGACTTTCCCCTCTGTTTGGTGAGGTCTGGTGCAATTTTTCTTGAATATAAATTTAAAGACTCAACTTGTGAATTACATTTAATGTAAGCACCCTGCAGTTTTCTGCATTGCAAATGATTATTTTTAGAAACTTTATGGTTGCCTGCATATATTTGTTTGTCTTCATTGATATGTAGGGGGGAAAGCTCATTAATGATTTAAAAAGAAAGTGTTTCGATTCATCGACTTGATTCTTCTCATTACATAAACAATAAAAGCAATAAATTAACATCTAATTAAATTATAAGTTTATTTCTGAACTTGGCTACAAGACAGTCTTGAATCCTTGTGCGTAACTGTGCCTTTTTTTTATATTTTTCTGCTTCACTGTTTTGAAAGTCATCACTCAGCATATTTTAACCTAAATGATGGTTGAAAACGTCTGCTTAGCAACTATCCCTCAAACACTATATTTGAGCAACTGTCTTGTAAAACAGTTCTTTGACTTCTAGAATGGTAAGTTATTATGTATAAACAAAGGAGTCTGGTGTAAAAATTGACTACGAAGCAATCCTTTTCTCCATGTGTCTACTACATATCATATATAATGCTTGAGAGATTTGCTTTCAGTACTTTCTCATCTTCACAGCCCTCTGTCTAATTCTTACCCAGTTGTACATTAAATCCTGCCTGCTTACCTTCTACCCAGTGAAATTCCTGCAAGTTCAGGACTTCTTTTCTCAGAAGCAGAGAAGGGATTGTGCTCGCTACATGTATGCTGAGTGAGAAGGGCCAAAATCCTTCTGTGTATTTGTTGACCCTGTGCAGCAAATACTTGTGACATCTTCAGCAGCGTTTAAATTGTTTGCTTTACCTCATTGAGTTAAATCATCATCACCTTTATGTCTAAATGGATAAAAAGGAGTTTTTATTGTTTTCTTTTATCTTGAAACTATTTCTTGTGAATAGAAATAGTTCAGCATGTTGCGGTTCCAGGACCAAGTTAAGTTTGGGTAACCTTCTCTACTGGAAGATAGCTCCACGGGAAACTTTCGATGCACAAGCATTCTGCAGTGTGACGTGGAAGTAAATGGTTAGGCTGGGTCGGTGCTGGAATGTGGGGGCTTAGCAGGCTGTTCGCATGCCTCAGAGATGTGTTCTAGCAATTATTTTTTTGAAACTGTGACACAATAAGGCATTAGGTGAATGGGGGAGGGGAGGGATCACGATAGTAAAAAAAAATGTTAAAAGTCAATACGAGCTTCTGTTGTGGTTTCCTTGTAGGTCAGATGTTGTGGTCCTCTGTTTTTCGATCGCCAATCCCAATTCCCTAAATCATGTGAAAACCATGTGGTATCCAGAAATCAAGCACTTTTGCCCTCGCACACCTGTTGTCCTAGTTGGCTGCCAGCTTGATCTCCGCTATGCCGATCTGGAGGCTGTTAATCGAGCCAGACGCCCATTAGCAAGGTAAGCCAAGGACTCGCGTTTTGCTGCCCAGCCGAATTAAGAATTAGAGGTAGCAGGTGTCTCTGCAGCCTACCATTCTGTTCCTCCACGGTTCTGGGGTCCCATCAATTAGACATACGCTTTAAGTCAGCCCAGTAGTCATGATGGGGGTGACTTGACCTCCCCTCCCCTCCCCCTCATCATAAGAGATCTCTTCTGATTTTTATAAAGTTGTTGGCCAATGTTTGATGCGAATTCTTTAAGTATGAATGGTGCATGGAGACGTGCTTACAAATGTGTTAAGTATTATACAAAATGTTAGCTGCCCATAGTAATGTCCTTCTTGAAATGATGATTATTAGTAAAGTGAACTGATGCTTAGAGTAATGAGCCACAGTTCCTGGCCCCAAGGAATATCAAGTTCCTACAAACATGTGCTTCTCAGTGTTTTTAACCCTCCTCATAACTCCCCAGCCCCACCTCTGAAGAGTATTTCGTTCCAAAGATGACAGTGTCCAGTTTTTAAAAATCATTTGGACCTCAAGTTGCAAAAAAGGCAAACATTACTTTTGAATGTCTCTCTGCTTTTATTTCTACCTTGTCACAAATATTTTAAAACTGCTTGAAGCTGGATTTGTTTTACTGTATGTAAGATGTGCATACCAGCTTGAGGAAGAAATGTAAGTTTTTAAAAATCTGTGTTCCTTCAAGTTCCATTTGTGTTGGGCTGGGGATATAGCTCAGTGGCACAAGCGCCTGCCTGGCAAGCACAAGGTCCTGAGTTCAATTCCTGGTACCAAAAATAAAAAATTCCGTTTGTGCTAAACAATTTTGTATCTTTTTCATGTTAGTACTTTTTTGCAGCAGAGCATAGATTTTCAAAAATACTTGATATTAATGTCTTGCTATGATGTTTGTTTAATAATAGGCTTATAACCAAAATATGCATGGATACAACTTTGCTCTTACAATGCAAACAAGTTGTGCTTCCTTTGGATATTTTCTGATGCTCTACATTTTGGATAAAATTTCTGAAAACATTTCATGTCCAGTATTCAGAGTCTTTTCATTCTTAAATGCATGGCCCAGAGGCTGAATATGAAGAGCCCCGTGGGTATGTAGCTGACTGGAGGAGGACTGCAGACCTGTGGGGGCAGGGGAGGTGATGGTCCCTTCTGTAGGGCAACTCTGCGCTTTCATGCAGAGGGGTATTTGCGTTAAGCTGTGGTGAGTTTTACCAGTTAGCGAAGCTCAAGTCAGGCCCAGGAACAAAGAACACATGAGGCCCGCAGCAGCAAACCTTGAAACGAAACTGTCTTCCCTGCACTTTCCTCTTACAGCTTCGCCAATTCCCTGAACCTGATGTCTCCTTTCCATTCAGGTGTTCAAATCCAATTCCACCCACCATCATCTTTTTTATCTTGAGACCAGTGGCTGTCATACGTATTACATTTGCTGTTGAAGGCCACATGTTTATTTAGAAGATCAGTTCCTAAGAATATGTCTCAGAAGCAAGCATGTGTTTCTGAAGAGTTGTCACAACAAGTCACATCTCACCCGTTTGTGGGATAGATCTGTTCCTTTATTGTGATTATGCCGTAACCACCACACCATACTGTTGTGTTGGTCTTCCTAGGTTTCATTAGAGCACAGATGGGTTTTGTGTGCAGACTAAAGGCTGTAGACTATTCCATTATCTTTATGGACTTAAAGGAAATTAACACAGAATTGCTACCAAATCTTTCTTGTGTTACGGAAGGCTTCTCCTGTAGCAGGAAGGTCTATGGGATAAAATTAAAGACAATAAAGAGAAAGTGATTAGGAGGCTAATGCAGCACCCCAAACAGAAGATGAGGGCCTGATGGCAGGAGCAGGAGAAAAACAAGGGGCTGGATATGAAAGAGGATTCATGAATCCAGTAGAGGAGACTTAATGGATCGTTTAACGAAGAACAGGAAAACCTAGGCTCAAATTGTTTAGTTAGAGGTCTCTCAATAACTTGCGAATGTGATCCTAAGCTAACCCTTTAAGCTCTCTGCCTCAGTTTCTTCAAAATATAGAACAAAAAATACTTCATAGCATTATTATGAGGTTCAAATGAAAAATGTCCATGGTGTATTTTAAAGCTAGAAAGCAGAAGTTAAAGTATAAAATGATGATGTGGTGGTGGTGATAGTGATAACGAGAATAACATTTATGGCACACCTACTGTGGGCCAGGTACATGCTAAGCATGTTATCTCATTTTGAACCTTTCAGTAAGTCTGTAATAAGACAGAGGCACTAGATGGGAAATGAAGGCTTAAAGAGGGTAAGTCACTTACCCTAAACCAAATAGCTACTAAAACGCCAGTGCTTTCATTACTGGGGCTACTACTGAAAGCATTTTTTCTGCAATCATAAATCCTCTATACTTGAAATCTAGTTGGTCATAGATTTTTTTAAGAGCCTTTATTAAAAGCCTCTTGGGATTTCAAATGCATAATTCAATTAGGTGCTGAGATAGGCACTGGTTATTATTTTTACCTGCAAATAAGGCTGGTTGTGATTTTTAAATATATTCTATTTCAGGCCCATAAAGAGAGGTGATATTTTGCCCCCAGAAAAAGGCCGAGAGGTTGCAAAAGAACTTGGTATACCATACTATGAAACAAGTGTATTTGACCAGTTTGGAATCAAGGATGTATTTGACAATGCAATCCGGGCAGCGCTGATCTCCCGTCGGCACCTGCAGTTCTGGAAGTCCCACTTAAAAAAAGTTCAGAAACCTTTACTTCAGGCACCCTTCCTACCTCCAAAAGCCCCTCCACCGGTCATCAAAATTCCAGAGTGTCCTTCCATGGGGACGAACGAAGCTGCCTGTTTACTGGACAATCCTTTGTGTGCCGACGTCCTGTTCATCCTCCAGGACCAGGAGCACATCTTTGCACATCGAATTTACCTTGCTACCTCTTCTTCCAAATTTTACGATCTTTTCTTAATGGAATGTGAAGAATCCCCAAATTGGGGCGAAGCAGTTTGTGAAAAGGACACACAGAGCAGGGAGTCCCAGGGGTGGACGCTGAGTTTTGATCCAGCTGAGGAAGGGGCGGAAGGCCCCCCTAGGACACCTCAGGCCGACCCGGGGACATCCTCATGCCAGGACCCTTCAGAGACCCTGGGGCTAGAAGCCGAGGGTTCAGTTCCCGAGACGCAGACCCTGTCAGGCTGGAGTAAGGGGTTCATTGGCATGCACAAGGAGATGCAGGTCAATCCCATTTCGAAACGAATGGGGCCCGTGACTGTGGTCAGGATGGACTCATTGGTACAGCCAGGCCCTTTCCGGACCTTGCTGCAGTTCCTTTACACGGGGCAACTGGACGAAAAGGAAAAAGATTTGGTGGGGCTGGCTCAGATTGCGGAAGTCCTAGAAATGTTTGATTTGCGGATGATGGTGGAGAACATCATGAACAAGGAAGCCTTTATGAACCAGGAAATCACCAAAGCCTTTCATGTCAGGAAAGCCAATCGGATAAAAGAGTGTCTCAGCAAGGGGACCTTCTCAGGTGAGCAGGGCCTGTGGTGAAGCCACCAAGGTCTTTGGTGGTGTTGTCGCAAGTGCTGGTCAAACATGAGCAGAGTAAAGAACAACCATAGCTTAACATGTGCTTGCTTTTTCCGTATACCTTTAAAAGCTATAACTTATTTAATTCTATCAGATTTAAGGGTTATTCTCATCATTTTGAAGATGGAGAAACCAACCACTTAAGTAACTTGCACCCAAACAGTAAACAATAGAGTAAAATCCTGGACCCAAACTTTTGTGGCTATAGAAATGGGTTCCCTAAACCACTGTGGCACCACACTGCTCTTCAGGGTAGACCAGGTGTCCCTGAACCTGCCTCCAGTCACCTTGGTGTCTGCAGTTCTCTTTTGGATCCCAGTTCCATTCTCTGCTGACCCTTCAGCAGTGACCTCTGGTCCTGAGGCCACTGGAGTGCTGGAGGTGAGTTTGGTGGCCTTGCATTCCCACAAGGGTTGCCTCGCCTGCTTCAACCCCCTTCCCCTTCTCCATGCTCAGGCTCTGTGGTAACATTGTTTTGTAGTTGTCTTGTCCTTTCTTTGCCTTTGATACCCAGGCCATGTGCGGCCCGCAGCGCCCTCCCTACGCTGCTGAAGCACACAGGCAGACCCTGTCCAGGCTGGGCTCCTGACCCTTGCTGGTATCGCCTTACACACTGGAATGATTTTTATTCTAAAATTGTGCTCTGGGTGTGTGCGGGCGTGGCTGGGTGTGTGCTTCCTTGTAAAGCTGACTTCCTAGCTTCTATTTGTATGGGTACCTCTGTTTGTCTCCATCATAGTCCTTGCCATGGTACCACACATTCAGTAAGTGGTTAAGTAATTTAGTAAGCAAATCTACTGACTAGTTTTAAAGCTTATGAGTAATAAAATTTACCCCAAACCCTGGCCATCATGGTATAGAAACAATCTGGAAAGTTAAAGAAAAGAGTATACTACAAATTGAACAGTGGACCTTTGTGAAAGTTGATTAAAATCATCCCCTGCTTAATACAGAGAAAAAATCCAAGTACATGGTGAGAGCCTCAATGGATTCCATTAAAAAAAAACTATTAAATATAATTTAGGAATAATTAGAGAAGCTTTGACATATGAACTACGTAGTAGATGACAGTAGTATTATTAGGAATTATTTTTAATTTCCCAGAGTATAGTAATGGTGTAATTGTTTAGGAGAATTTTCTTAGTTTTAGAAGATTTTGTGATAAGTGTTATATTATCCCTTCAAAATGTTTACACACATACATAGAAATACATATTCCGCCAAAGTATGACGATGTTAACAATGGATAACTGAGTGATTGTTATACAAGTTGAGCGTCACTCATCCAAAAATCCAAAATCTAAAATGCTCCCAAATCCATAATTTTTTAAGCGCCCCCAATGGAAAATTCCACACCTGCCTCACATGACAGTTTGCGATAAAAATGCAGGAGCACTGAAAACATTCCATCAGGTTGTCCTCAGACTGTGTGTGAAAGTATATATGAAACAGAAGTGAATTTTATGTTTAAACTTGGGTCCCATTGCTAAGATATTCATTATGTCTATGCAGATGCTCCAAAATCTGAACAAATCCAACATTTTTCTGGTCCCAAACATTTCAGATAAGGGAACTTGCCTGTATTATCCTTTCCACTGTTCTGTATATTTGGAGGAAATAGTACTCCTCTCCTTTCGGTTACTTTTTGTTTCAAAGAATTTGTGTTGTAACTTTACAAGTAATTTAAATGTTTACTGCCTAATGTGGGGATGGGGTTTGGCAAAGGTAGAGGTTGACCTAAAGATAAAGGTAGCTATGGAAGAGAGAGAGAGACAGGCGGTAGAGGAGAAGCCTTGGTCTGAGTGCTCTGCACACTGGCTCATGCTGTCCCTCAACCCTTGGCAGATGTGACCTTCACTTTGGATGACGGAGCCATCCATGCGCACAAGCCACTGCTGATCTGCAGCTGTGAGTGGATGGCTGCCATGTTCGGGGGGTCCTTTGTGGAGAGCTCCAACAGTGAGGTAGGTGCCTTCCCGAGAGCGTATGTGCTTATGTAAAGTGTTCCATTCGCCAGGTGACTTCGGCTCCTTAGGTCCTTCCATGAAAGAGTTCCTTAGCCTGTGCTTGGGTTTTAGGCAGCTGTAGTGATGAGCTACTGATGATGGATCAGTGGTGTGTGAGCACCTGGCCGCCTCCCACAAAGCATCGCCTTTTATCTTCACACCTTTCCGTGACCAGACAAACCATTTACCGGGCAAAGTACAACCAAAATCTGGTATAAGATAGGAGGCTGAGGCAGGAGGAGCTCAAGCCTGAGCCCATCACAGGCAACTTAGTGAGTTAGCAAAACTCTGTCACAATATAAAAAAATAAAGAAGGGTTGGAGAAAGTGAGGAAGGAAAAAATGGAAAGCCTTAGACTGGGCTTACCAAAGTCAGGGTCCCAGTGCCTCAGTCCATCCTGCCAATGGCTCCCCAAGAGAAAATGCCCTCAGCATGTGAGGAGGTTCTCAAAACTGGAGTAAGGGACCTACCTACGCTAACCATGGAAACTCACAGGTTTGCTGACTCCTGTCACAGAAGAATTTTCAGGGCCCATTAGTAAGAGGCTTGGAGGGGGTTAGTAGACAAGTTTAGCACACACTCAACGAAATAGACTGCAGTCCTCGAGAGTGCGCACTTTTTTCCTGAAATGGAACAGTTATGCTTCTCTTGAGGGGTGCAAACCCCTGGAAAAGGTGGCCCACGCCAACAAGGGCAGTGCCCACAGTGTAGGTGTGAGCCTGGTTTTTTAATAGGTAATTTAAACATTCTTTTGATTCTCTCAACCTCTTCCTTTATCAGGTTCAGGATCAGGTTCCTGCTCTTGACTTTCTCAGGAAAACCAACTTACTGACTTCCAGTATTCCTGAGGAGCTTAGGTGCCACCGGTCTGAAAAGAAAGGGGCATAAATTTCACCGAGACCCACAAGCTGCAGTCTTCTTGAAAGTACAATTTTAGTTACAATTTCCTGTCTCCTTTCTACCGATCTTCTATTTCTTCTATTCTGTCTCAGACTCAATCTCTAGTACTACAAAATTTAATTTTTTTTTTTAAATCAAGTACAAGAGAGACAGAGCCTTTCTTCCAGAGGTTCAGGAAAATGAAAATAGCTCTTCAGACCCTAAAGTCCTGGGTCCAGCCTTCCCTTTAGCCAGACAGAGGGCCTTAGAAAGTCACATCCTGTACCTCAGATGCTTCGTCTGCAAAACAGGGAAGGGACTACAGCATCCCTGAGATCACAAGAGCTGTGGCCCTCGGAGCTCAGAAGCTCCACCCCAACTTCTCTATCCTTGTTCGGGGGCGGTCTGCGGGCCCATTATCCTGGCAAGAGTGACCCCCTGAACGCGCCTCTCAGTGAGAGTCACACAGCGCCAAAAAGAGGATTTCCTTAGGACAGAGCAAGCAGTATCTCATACAAGCTGGGATCTTTATCTTTCTCCAGAATCTATTAGAAAAAAAAAAAAAAATGTGTTCAAGCACTTCTAACTTTAGGAGTGAGCAAGTATTTTTGTTGAGTTTTGCAACTGTTTTTTAACATCTTTAAAAAAAAAAGCATGGGGACATCCCATTGAGTTTATTGTCCTAAGGAGCATGTTTTGCTTATCTCAGCATCTCTCCAGACTTTCAAAAGAAATACAGAAAACAATGGCTGACTCTTCAGAAGGGGCGCTCACAGGAGAAATCTGAGCACTCCCAGTTGTGACCCAGGAGCCTGTATTTGCATCCCCAAGCAGGGAAACAGAATCCTAGAATCACAAGCCCGGGACGGCCGGGGCTGAGAAGGTCACTCCTGCTTCTAGCTCACACTGCAGCTGCTCCTGCCACCTGCCCCGCAGAGGCCTGTCTGCTGTTTGGGAAAAAGCGATAGGATTATCCCAGTGACCTCCTCTGTTGTCTGCCAGCCTTTATAACTGGTCAGTCTTTAATTCGTGATCAGAAGTGTCTGGGGCTGTATTACTGAGATTCCTGCAGTACAGTGGGAGCTCAGTAGTTAAGGGGACATGAGGCTTAAACTGCAGCTCCTTCACTTCCAAGCTGCATGGGCTAGGACCAGTGACCGGGCTTCCTGCACTCCATCAGGAGACACAGTAATGACCTGTGGCATGCTTTTGAGGTACAAGAGTCAGTACTTGCAAAGTACCTCATAAGGATTAAGTGACAGGTGGTTGCCACTAGTACCATCAACTTTTGATGCTGATGGCTTTCTTTCCCTGTTACTTCCAGAAGAAAATCAGGGTAGGCACCGATTAATGGAGCCTCGTCCAGCCATCATTTTACTGACTTCGGTAATCTCCCGGGATAAAAGAGCTCAGAGGCTCGCTGCCTTGTTTTTGCAGCCCGCTGAGATGCGCTCTGATTGTACGGCAGAAAGCCTGCTGTTGACTGAGCGGAGAAAAGTTGATCAAGGTCAAGAACCCAGGCACAAAGGGACACTGTCAGTGCTGACCTCATGAACACTAATCCTCTTTATCCCTTCACAGAATGGACTGTAATCTTCTCCAGATTAAAATCTGCAGTAGCCGTGACCAAAACAAAACCTTGACAGTAGCTGTGAATGCACACATGTATGGCTGCTTAACAGCCGCGGAGGTGGCCCCGGGTTTAGCACCAGGAAGGACTAGGTCACTCGCCTCTTAGAACAGCAGCTGAGGCCATTTCAATCCAGCTCAAAGGACAAAGACTGCAGGCCCACCTAACCAAGAGCCCGTACTGAATTTCTGTGATCCACTGTACTGAGAATGTCGTGAGCTGTTGACACATCCACCATCTCCTGTCCTTTCTCTTCATCTCCAACACGAACAGTCACACAGAGGTCTGAACTCCAGGCTCAGTTTGACCTAGACAAATGACCAACCCTCTGTGTACCTGTTTCCTCATCTGGGTAGTGGGGATAACAGGTGAATCTTCTTCAAAGAGCAGAGCAACGAGAGTACGTGTGTAACAGACAGCGTTTGGTACCGAGAACGTACATGTGCTCAAGCAATGTCAGAGACATCATCCCGGAATATTCTTGTTCAGTTCTTTCCATGAAGGTTAAAGGTGTTTGTCCCCTAAAAGCTCTAAGGAAAAAAGCGCCCAGCTCTTTTCTAAACTAAGAAGGTCAGGAAGTGGCAGTTACAGGTGTACAGAGAGCGGCGCAGTCCATGGACTGTGTACTGATTATATTCCATTCTGTGAAGGGAGAACAAGGAAAACCCTGTGCTTGGCTTAGCTCTGTGTTCGGGCCCGGGCCAGTGCCTTGCTGGGGAGTCTTCTGAACTCTTTCTTGTCCTGGGAAAATCTGACTTCCCCATGAAAGCCTATTCTTTGTGGTGGGGAGACTAAGTTACATATAGACATGCGTTTCCAGAAAAGAAGAAATTGTGCTCATTGATGTCGATTTAACATTGTTTGTCACTTAATATTCATGAAGTCACTGTTTTTACTTTTACTTTTTCCTTTACTTTTATGTAGCAGTAAACATAGCTCTCCCCCCCACCCCACAGGTACTCAGCAAGTGGTTCATTAAAAACGCAAGCTCGGTTGTAGGAAGCAGTGCTTGGGAGTTGAATACCGCCGCATTCTCTGTGAAACCATCTCTAATTTTAAGCCTGATAGTCCAAGACAATCTTCACAATTAAAATGTTAAGCTGGAATGTGGGACGTTGTTTAGGATAGCATTATATTTTCTTTCATTACGCTTTTCTTTAAGTACATTCGAGGTGGGATGTAGACTTTTTTTACTGTCTTCTGTACCTTTATGTATATTATTTTTAAAGTGCTATTAAAAGGTCTCTGTCTTTCTCTCTCTTTCTATCTTAATGTATAGTGAGTCATAAATGTAGAAATCACAGAATCAGGCTTTGTTTTGAAAAATCAGCCATGAGGGGTAAAAAGACATGCTCTGCAAAGATTTTCTGTTGATCTTCATTTGATGGTTACTTCTAAGCTTTCCTAATACTATTTGCCAAAGACGATCACCACTTCAAAAAATGTTCACTTGTATTAGGCAGAAAGGAAACAGCGGGTCGAGTAATTACAGACGTCACAACATCGAGGACATTGGGAGTCCTGGGGCGTGGCCACCCCTGGAATCGCTGCTCTCCTATTGCCAGAAATAACCGTTTTTACTTAGGACGTCCATTTTCACATTTGTATTTCTAATGAGGTTTTTTCTTCTTTAAGAAATGATTTGGAATGCACTCTTACCAAACAAGGCTAAGATAATCTGTATATTTTCAAAACCCAGAGTCTCAGTGAAGAAAGTTTACATCTCTTCCAAATTTCTCCCATATAATAGATGGGGAAACTGAAGGTCAGAGAGGTTGAGTGATTTATCAAAGGTCACAGAGCATTTTCACACCTCTCTCGGGGCCCATCCTGCACTCTTACCCTTGCCCTTGACTCATTCTTTTCTGAAGGAGGAGATACCTCTATATCTGAAAGAGTAGTTCTGAGCCTTACATTGACAGTGGTTAAGATACCATGTATGCTTTGTAAACTGTGGAGACTTTTACTGTAGAGTGGTGCATATTTCAAAATTCCACAATTTTTCCTCAGTTATATAAAAAATTGTACTGATCCAAGCGTCATTCTAGAGAAGTGGCATTTTTCCACGTGTTCATCCACACAGAAACTAGTTTATCTATCTATAACTCATTATCTGTGTAAAGTAAATCCATGTGTATATATAACATACAGTACATGTGTGTAAGGGTACACACAGTATAGCAATTAATTATTCATTTGTAGATAGAGCTGGTTAAGAGAATAACATTCTGTATATTGCAGATGATCCAGCATGTCATTATTAAAAATTTGAATTAAACATTATTTAAAAAGTGGTATCAGTAATAGTTTCCTCTCATCCAATTCTTTCTGTTGTACAAGTTGTGCTAAAAAATGTGAAATTATCACCCTTAACAAATCATCTTTGGTAACACCCCATGCATCTTATTTCTGGGATCATATTTTCACTGACTAGGTCTAAAATGGGGGAGTGGTAAATTTCTTAATATTTCTAGGAATTTGTCTGGGCTTTCCTGTGATATATTGAAGAATGGCTTTGCCATTTTAAAGTATATTCCCTCGGGGCTGGGGATTTAGCTCAGCGGCAAAGCGCCTGCCTGGCAAGCCCAAGGTCGTGAGTTCGGTTCCCGGTACCGGAGAAAAACCAAAAACAAACAAACAAACAAAAAACCAAAGTATATTCCCTCTCTGAGGTAACCGGTGATTGCACAGGAGAATAACAGAGAAGGTCACAATAACTGAACCCTGGAACTTCTGCAGGCTGAGGTCCCTGTAGAAGGGGACAGGGCTCTTTTACATTCTTCTACATACACACACGAACATACGGTTTCATATATGTACAAATAGATATGGTTTTATGTATGTGAACACACATGGAAAAATGTATAACTATACAATATATAAATCATATATAAGTAAATGTAAATGTAGATAACATATAAGTAAATGTAAATGTAGATAACATATAAGTAAATGTAAATGTAGATAACGTAGATTTATATCTTTATATGCTATATACAGATTTGTTAAGTACTAGAATTAAGACATTTGTAACTTCCATCCTTTTGAATTACAAATCTAATTCTTAGAAGCTACTAGTGAAACACAACGTTTTATTGTTCTGTAAGCCAAACCCTTTTCTCCTTTCCATTAAGGGTTTCCAGTACTGAACCACAATTCAAAACATGGATTTTGGAATTAGGCTCCCTGGATTTAAATCCCCATCAGTACTTCCCAGTTCTGTGACCTTGGACCTAAGACATAACCTCTCCAAGCCTCTGTTTCCTTAAGTATAAAATAGGAAAATAATAGCCTCTTCCTCCTAGGGCATATTTAATGACCAAATTAGATGATGAATATGGAAAATTTAGCACAGTGCCTGATGCATAGGTTAATTTTTATAATCATCAGCATTTCCATGGGGAAAACAGCTGGTAACATTCTCTATTCTTTCAGGCTCTGCCTTATGGCGTTAAAGACTTAAAATAAAGAATAGCTGCTAAAGCATGTATGTCCCCATTGAGCTATGGCTGCCCATCTAGCAGTGAAGCTCCCAGGTAGTCTCTGGCTCATTAGCAAATTCTAGCATGGATTTATATAAAAAACAATTCAGGTACCTATGAGGGAGCCTGGGAGAAGCATAGAGAGACCAGTTACCATACCCAATCAGATTTCCCAGGAGTTCTGGATCCGCGTGGTTGTAGGAAAAATAACAAAATGTATATAATGGCACTAACGTGTACCAGTTGGACACCAAAATCCAGCCAGTCACCATGGTATCTAGGTGGTTGCTCATCCTCTATTTTGACATCCCAGTGAGCTGGGCGACATCCTGTGTCAGCAACAGCATGGTTACAGCTCCCCCCGACACCTGTCATGTCACTAGGAGATTCCTTTCCCCACAGTAGAGTATCATCAGGCGAGGAGGGCCCGTAATGTCATCATACACTTACCACCCATTTGTTTGCTTTATACGTCCAAATAAGCATTTAACAATTCCAAATCAGGCTTTGTCAGGCAGCTCCACTCTTGTTGTCTACAAATCATGGTATTATGTTTAGAGCCTTAAATACTGAACCACTTCTATGTACAGCATCAGAGCATGTACAGCATCAGATCCAGGTCTCACCAGGATCAAGTCTGACCATTGGGATATTTATGAGCAGCATTGCCTGAAAATGTGCCTACTGCCTGCTTTTACCAGCAGAATTCAGCTGTTTCTGTAACATTTCAGGTGTATCTCCCAAGCATAAACAAAATGTCAATGCAAGCAGTGTTGGATTATCTCTATACCAAGCAGTTGTCACCTAACTTGGACCTGGACCCACTGGAATTAATCGCCTTGGCAAACAGATTTTGCCTGCCACATTTGGTTGCACTTGCAGGTAAGACCGATGACTTGGAGCTGTGCTGTGCCTGCCGTATTTATCAAAGTCACTTTTAAGCACAAATAGGATTTCCAGGGAGTAAAACTTTTCTATCCTCCACCCACACAGAACTGTCTCATTTAGGGCAATAGGAGCTGATCAAATGTATTAGACAACCCCATTCAGTTTAACAAGTATTACAGACCTACTGTGTGTCAGATCCTATTAGGTGACACAGATATAAAGATGAATGATGCAAGCTCCTGCCCAGGAAGCACACTGTGTGCCTGCGGAGTCATTTGAAATGAAACAGTTACCCCCAGAAGGCATGCGCAGACAGTGTTTCAGGGAGGGACAGGGAGGCAGTGGTTCAGCCCATAAACTGCAGAGCCACATTCCCGTCCTGGCTCCACAGTTTACTGGCTGCATGATGTTCTCCTTCACAGAGCCTAAGCTCTGTATCACAGCGATCTCTCTCCTTAAAATGGGGATAATAGCATCTACCGCAGAGTAGTTATGAAGATTAAATGAGTTAAAATATATAAAGTCCTTAGAATACTGTCTGGCACATAGTAAGCATTATGTAAGTGGTTTTCTTAAAGCTATTTTAGAAAATGTTCTGACATTGTCAAGTTCATCTTGGGGAAAAAGAAAAAAGAATAAAGGGAGATTTGGCTTAACTTTAAAAGCCTTATCTGTAATTCCTAGATTTGTTCAGTTGGTAAGCTGAAGCAAGGCTGTATGTAAGATATATGCATTTAAATACCTGGTTTTAAACATTAAACCTTCTGCTTTATTCATCACAGGTGTCAGTTGGCAATTTGAGTGTTTACCTCTGTGTTTAACTGATTCCTAGTAACCAGGAACGCGGTGACTGTCTTGGTCATGGGTGTCTCCCCCACACGTAGAAAAGTGTATGAGCATATTAGATTCTCCATAAGTATTTATTCAATAATTATCCAGGCGTGATGGCACACTCCTATAATCCCAGCACTCAGAAGGGTGAGGCAGGAGGAGGATTGCCAGGAGTTTGAGGCCAGCCTGGGCTACAAAGTGAGCTCAACGCCAGCCTGAACTACACAGCAAGACCCTGTCTCAAAATAATAATAATAACAGTAATGATGATGGCGATGATAACTGAATAAAAGTGAGTGGGTGAATAAACCCACCAATCCTAAACACGTTTCACTTTCTAGCAATGGCTTTAGATAAAAGATTAATTTTCCTGTCCTCCCAAGCTTTGTGTTGGGTTTTGTTTTACAGTACTGGGAATTGAACCCAGGGACTTTGCACTGAGTTACATTCCCAGCCCTTTCTATTTTTTTTTTTATTCTGAGACAGGATCTCAGTAAGTTCTCTAGGCTGGGCCCACACTTACCATCCTCCTGCCTCAGCCTCCCAGAGCATTTGGGGTTACAGGCTGTGCCACCATGCCCAGTTCATCCTCAGGTTTCTTCTATTTGAAACAAACTAACTGGGTGGAGAGCCAGAAGCCTTTCTTCACCCTGCTTCTCTGCCAAGTGAAAAGAAAGAGAGTTGAAACATCACTGTTAGATTTTTTTAAAAAAACTATTTTTAACCAGTGTACCTGAGGTCATAGATTGCAATGAGTATACCACTTTTTTACCTACTAACTCTGTGAAGCTGTGGTGGGAAATTAATTTTTCAGAACTATGAGTTCAAATATAACTCTCCACAGGTTTTACAAGTATTTGTCCTTTGAAAATAAATTTGATATTTGTGAAATGGTAAAAAGTAATTTAGAGTCAAATCTGTGAAACAAGGTTTATGATCAGTCTTGGAACAGGTACCATTTTTACTAAAATATTAAGTCCAGCAATGAATAACAGAATTAATTTTTCTTGTGAAAGATTTAACTGACCTAAAAAAGGTTCTTGTGCGAATTACAGACTTCTGTGTACATGGAGCATTGTTATCATATGCTATTATTGCTGAGAGGTACAGTCCTGTAATCCCAGCATTGGGGAAGCTGAGGTAGGAGGATCACTTCGAGTTTGAGGCAAGCCTGGACTACAGAGTGAGTTCAAGGCCAGCCTGAACTGCATAGCAAAACCCTGTCTCAAAAAAAATGCTATTATTGCTGTTGTGGGTATTTAAAATACAGCTAAGAAGGTCTCTAATCATTCATAGTATATGGTGCGTACTGTTTAAGGTAGACTGTTTAGAATGTCTTTGTAGAGATTAAAATTCAGTTTCTAGGGCAAAAATACATTGCAAGTCATTGTTAAATACATGTTAAGAAAAGTTGAAGTTACTTAAAGAGTCTAAATGACTTCTCTGGGAAATTTAGTTCCAAAAAGTTATGTTGGTCAATACAGCTGAGGAGGGTTATGCTAAAGAAATTGGCCAGTTCCATGTGCTGTACAGAACAGAGATAGGCACCCAGACTAACATGAAGGCATAGCCGGAGCAGAAAGGGAGCACAGTTTGGACAACACAGGCCGCCGCAGGTGTGCCTTGGAGGATTGCAGGTTCGCTGCAGCCCCTGCAGTTAAGCACGTGTCATAATAAAGTGAGTCACGTGATTTTTTGGTTTACCAGTAACTAGTAAAGTTAGTTTACACTCTGTTATAGTCTGTCAAGTATGAAATACTATTCTACCTATAAAAATGTAGGTGCATCCTTAATTTAAAAGTACAGTCGACTAGGCCTTCGGTTGTAATCTCTTTGCTGATAAGAGGTCTTGCCTTGCTGGTAAAGGCCGGAGGAGGTAGTGGTGCCACTTTCTCAAAAGGGGTGACAGTGAAGTGTGTTGGGTCTGCAGACCCTTTCTTTCACCAAAGATGACTCTCACCTGTGATGCTCTTCAATAGCTTTCATCCACAGTAGAGTTCTTTTAAAAGTGAAGCCAATCTTCCCAAGCCCTGCTACCCTTTCATCACTAAGTGTGTGTAATAATCTAAACCTGTTGTTGTCAGTTTTATTAATGTGCACGTTGTTTGACCAGGAGTAGTTTGTATTTCAAGAAACCACTTTCTTTGTAAGAAGCAACTCACGAAAGCCTTGCTGTGGGGTTGCAGTCATTCATTCATATCTTCAGGCTCTCATTCTCTTAGAAGTTCCCATGCTTCTAATTGTAGTTCGCTTGCTGTGTCCACCATGTCTGCAGTTAGTTCTTTCACTAAAGTCTTGAGTCCACCAAAGTGATGCATTAGGGTTGGTATCAACCTTGTATATATGTGATTTTTGTTCTGTTCCCTTTTTTGAGATGGAATCTTGCTTTGTAGTTCAGGCTGCACTTAAATTCACTATGTAGCCCAGGTTGGCCTCAAAGTCATGGTGATCCTCTTACCTCAGCCTCCTGAGTGCTAGGATTACAGGCATGTGCCACTCTCACAGCCCTCTGAGCTCCTATTAGATATTGTGACCTCCCATGGATCACAGATGCTTTGTTGTTATTTTTGCAGACCTGGTGAGCTCTATCACTGTGCTACATCCCCAGATTTCTTTATTTTTTAAGAAAGGGTTTTGCTGAATTTCTTAGGCTGGTTTGAACTTGTAAATATGTAATTTTTGTGATGTTCCTTTTTTTTGAGTCCTGCTGAGTATCTGGGATTACAAGCATGTGCTGCTGTACCCAGGCACGAATGTCTTTAATGCCATCTTGAATGGCACATCCTTCCAAGAAAGTTTTCCATTTATTTTTCCCAGCTCCATGAAAAGGTGACTAACTATGGTAGCTCTAGCCTTCAAAAAATATATTTCTTCAATAATAAGAGTTGAAAGTTGAAATTATTACTTAATCCATGGGCTATTTTACATCCCCATTGGAGCTCGTGGGTGGCCAGGTGCATTTCCAATGAGCAGTAGTATTTTCAAAGGAATCTTTTTTTTTTCTTGTGAACATATATCTCAACGGTGAGCTGAAAATACTCAGTATACTGTCCTATAAACAGCTGTGCCATCTCCCAGGCATTGTTGTTCCATATGCAGAGGACAGGCAGAGCAGATTTGGAATAGTTTCCCAGGGCCCTGGGATTTTTAGAATGGTAATTATAGAAAGACTAGCTTCAATTTAAAGGCACCAGCTGCCTTAGCCCCTGATGACAGAGCCAGCCTGCCCTGTGAAGCTTTGAAGCCAGGCAGTGGCTTCTCTTCGTTAGCTATGGAGTCCTTGCTGGTGTGCTCTGTAGAAGGCAGCCTGTCTGCACTAAGAATCTGTTTTGAGTGCAGGCCCTTCATGAGCAGTCTCAGCCAGGTCCGGGGAACTTGCTGCAGCTTCCCTGTCAGCATTGCCGCTTCCTCCCGCACGTCATGTCATGGAGCCAGCTCTCCTCCTTAAGCCTCGTAGCCAGTCCTCTACCAGCTTCAGAGCTTTCTTCCCCAGCAGCCTTACCTCCCTCAGCCTGTGTAGAACCAAAGACAGTGAGGATCTTGCTCTGGATTAGGCGCTGGCTGGTTTGATCTCCCGTGTAGGCCACTAAAACTCTGGATCAGCAGTGAGGCGGTTTTTCTTTCTCAGCCTCCATGTACTCACTAGAGTAGTACTTTTTAATTTCCTTCCTTCCTTTTGCATCAACAGCCTGACTCTTTGGTACAAGAAGCCTCTCTTGGCATATCGTGGGTTTGACATGCATTCCTCACCAAGCTAAATCATTTCTAGCTTTCTGACTTAGAGTGAGAGATGCAATTCCTCCTTTCACTTGAATGCTAGAAGCCATTGTAGCCTATTATTGGCCTCATTTCCATACATAGTGTCTTGGGGAACAGGGAGGCCCAAGGAGAAGGAGAGAAACTGGAGGGACAGCTAGTCAGTGCCATGCTCAGAATACACACAATATTTACCATCTTACATGGACTCAGTTCCTGATACCCAGAAGCAATTACGATAGTAACACCAAAAGTCACTGATCACAGATCCCCTTAACGTATACATCAACGATGGAAAAGTTAGAAGTATTGAGAAATGTACCAAAACATGCCCACAGATACTAAGTGGAACACATGCTGTTGGAAAAATGGCACCAATAGACTTGCTCAACACAAGGTTGCCCACACCTTCATTGTGTTAAACACACACACACACACACACACACACACACACACACACACACAATATCTGCAAAGTGTAAAAAAGTGAAGCATAATAAAATGAGGTGTACTCATTGCTGGACTAGAAGAACAAGCACAGTGCTAATGGTGACGCGTCACAGAGCTAGAAATGCTGGGCCAGTGCTTGCATGTCAACCCCAGAGGTGGGAGGCAAAAACCAGTTAGCTCAGCCTCAAAACCACAATTTAAGTTCAGCATGCAAATGTGAGCATATACAAGCTCCCAGGCAACGATCGCTCTCTCAACCAGATTTTTGTTGAACTTCTGACTGAAGTTCTCCCCATCTTTATAATCCAGGAGATGAAACAATGCATCCGTCTGTAGCTGCTGAGACAAATGTGTGCCTTCACACTTAATTCTCCAAATAGTCTTATTCCTCTGTCACTCAGTCTCTTCACTGTCAGGATTAGAGCGCTGTGCATGAGAAACCTTCCAGGAATGTGCCCAGAGGGGTCGAGGGAAGTGGTACCGTGAAGGGCTGCACTGTCCAGCAGAACTGTCTTGCGATGGTGGAAATGTCCTAGGTCTGCACTGTTCAACACAATGGGCAGGTGTGGTTATGGCACATTTGATGTGGTTAGTGTGACTGAGGAACTGAACTTTTCACTGTATTTCATTTGAACTCATTTAAGTTTCCATAGTCTGATATGGCTCGTGGTTACCGTCCTGAACAGGAAAGTGCAGATCTGGAGGATCCCAGCTATTATCAGAAGTATAGACAGGAGTCCCCAAAGATGTCGTTGCAATGCTTGGAAACCAGAGCTCTGATACAGAAAGGCCGCACACTGAAATGGATCCTGCACTCAGTTCAGATGACTGCCCAGAGCTGTGTCCCATATTTCCTCTCTTAGAGTCACCCCGACCAGCCCCGCCAGGCCTGCGCTTGGCCCGCCGAGTGCCATGTAACGTTCTCCTGCCCTCTCCTCCCCAGAGCAGCACGCGGTCCAGGAGCTGACCAAGGCTGCCATGAGTGGCGTGGGCATCGACGGGGAAGTGCTCTCCTATTTGGAACTGGCCCAGGTTTGTAGCAGTTTGCTTTTCACCTCTTCAGTGTGCTCAGTTTGTTTCACCCTGATAACGCGATCCACTGTTGCATGTGTCACCAGTGAGTCACAGTGTGTACACTGAAAAGATCTGAGAGCTTAGCCTGCTGGGCTTCATTGGAAAACCAAGGACCCCACCCCCATCCCAGTCCTTTGTCCCCCAAGGCACTGGCCTCACAGGTTCCAGAACCACTGAAGCAAGATAGGGCGAGATTGTGTGTCTTCCTTCTTGGCATCCTAGGGCATGTGCTGGCCACGATTCGTTTCTAGAATTCCATGTAGTCCTGTAATACCCCACTGCTCACTGAAGCTCTCCTGGAGTCTTCCAAAATCGGTTATTTTTAAGATCACTTTCCATAATCTCAATACACATTTGCACTCTTCTTCTGGAGAAAGTTTTTCAAAGGTCCAGCTTCAGCTTTATCAGCATATAACATCCTCAGGGCACAGAGCTAATCTCTGCCTTCTTTCCTCACCCATACCCTCCCAACCTTACGGATTATTGAGAAAGTCAACTAGGAGGACAGTTGAAGAAAGAGCCCAAAGAATGGAAGATATCTCATAATGCAAGGTGCATAGGCAGAACAGTCGAGTCCCTGGCTCAGACTGATTAACACTGAGTTTACAGTCTGGGGCAATGAAGAATTCGTTCTGTAATTTTTCTTCCTGCCCATGCAGTTTGCCTTTCTCTGTCAGAGGCTTAGGTCAGTTGGTTTAAACTGATATTTCTCAGCCACGGGAAAGGCAGTATTTTCAGGAGGAGGAAGGCGGCAGTGTAGCAGATGCGAGGCTGTGCAGCTGAGGCCAGAAGAGATGGCCTGGGACCAAGGGGGAGATACAATAGGACTTACAGCAGCCCGTTCACTCTGACTTAACATTCAACCAGCATCTGTGATTTTCTCCCTACACACCGGGCACTACGCTGGGCCGAGGTTATATACCTACCAATAATCATTGCCCTCCGAGCAATCCTAGGCAGGTACAAGAGACAGACACCACCACAGGTGATTAAAATTCAGTGTGGGAAACAACCTCATGAGCAGTTGCAGTGAAAACTGAGGACAAATAGTCACTGATGGAATCAGCAAGGCCCCATCAAAATTGGTTGCCTACAGGGGCTGGGGATTTAGCTCAGCGGCAAAAGCGCCTGCCTGGCAAGTGCAAGGTCGTGAGTTCGGTTCCCGGTACCGGAGAAAAAAAAAAAAAAATTGGTTGCCTACAGTTTGAACTTTGAGATCTGTTAAAACACCCAAGTTTGGGGGGACAATTTATGACTCTGGCTCTGTCCAGTAAGTATCCCTCCCAGAGAAAAAATGAAATGACTCAGAATTTCATATAGGACCAATTCACTTGAGCTAATGTTTGCAATTGTGGTTGTCTGTTTGCTCTGTATTCCCACCCTGTCCTGTCCCTGCACCCCGCCCGTGACATACCCTGCTAGGAAATATTTCTGCTAAGCCTTGACAAACCTTGGCAGAAACAAGTTAGGATGGAGTGTCCCAGGTCTTAACTCATTGGTCAGATCTTAACCCAGGCCTGTGCCAGACAGAGTGTCTAACATTTAGCCTGGGGGCGCCTGGAACCCTGCTCTGTTGCACTTCCTACCATCGCCAGTTTTAACAACATGAAGTTAGTGTAGGAAAGAAATGTACATAGTTGACTCTTTCAAGCTGTTAAATGCCAACTCGGCACACCGTTGGCCCAACCTTATTTTCAGAGATAAATCAAAAGCCAGCAGAGGCTGGAGGCACCAGCCTCATGCTCTCAAGAGGTTTGGGGCTATGATTTTCTAAGTCTCAGGAGTGGCTTTCTGAGGCCCTGGCTTTTCCACTGGCCTTCACAGTGGAGCTGTGCACCATGGGAGAACCACACATAGTTCCAGGCTCTCGCCTCGCTGCAGGAATGTCAGTTCGAGAAGGGCAGGGCGTCAGGGTGTCCTGCCAGATCTCACAAGGTAAAGGAGAATCAGTTGGCTATCAGTGTTTTTCAGTCATAGCTGCCTCAGTTGCCCCTGTTCAGAAGAGAAGGGTGGAGTATTTGGATCCCTCCCACCCTACCCATGCTGCCTGCTCTTGTTATGTAACGGAAGGCCAGGTATAGGACAGTCACGCGTTTCACAGTCTCCTCTTTCGGATCTTTGGCCCCAGCAAGCTGAGCCCTGACATGTGACACGGAGTATTCCGTTGCGGAGGCTTCCTTAAACAGAGATGACATCGCTCCTCTCTTCTCTTACCTGGTGCTTCCAGAGGGCACAGTCGCTTATCACTGGAGGGCCAGGTGGCACAGGAGGGTGGGAGGGCAAAGCATGCTTGAAATTCTTCATGCAATACGGTGATTATTTGGGGCACAGCTGTCATAGTGGAGGGGGCTCAGGAAGGGTGTATCAGACACGACACTTGGCTGGCATCGGAGCTATGGCCAAAGTTAAAATACACTTTTTATCGCCCCTCCAAGGGCTTCCTATCTCTTCGTAGCCTCACTAGAAACTAGAGCCTGACTCGCTTTTGGTCACTTTTGTGCAGTTTCACAATGCGAACCAGCTGGCCGCCTGGTGTTTGCACCACATCTGCACCAACTACAACAGTGTTTGTTCCAAGTTCCGCAAGGAAATCAAATCCAAATCTCCAGGTGAGACTGCCGGGTCCCCATCTGTCCAATGCTCCTGGGCTGTGAGTGACACAGCCCCCTTCTGTGGCCATGGGAGGAAGCGTGCTCAGAAGGTGACTTGGGGAGAATTCCTTGCATGTGACATGACCCAAGGAATTGGAGGGTGGGATTCTCTTTGCAGAATGACTTGCTGGGAGTATTTGGGTGGGCTGGAGTTCAGGGTCCCCTGGGCACAGCCTGTAGTTGGTGGCACACTCATGTCCGGGGAGGCATGCCTCGGAGAAGCTCAGACTCTGAGAGCAAAGGGTTGAGGTTCTCTGTGCCCAGGTGCAGGACTGCAGGCAGGAGTCTCTCTCCTAGAAATTTACTGTCATCCTTCGCAAGCGGTTCTAGTCAGAGTCCCTGCCACATCAGGCGGGGCGGGTGGCGGGGGAGAGGATGTAGGTGAAACAGTAGTCGCAAGGCCCAGCACATAGAATAGTTCGCGAACTGCACCAGGGGTATCATCGGCCCATTTCCTCACAGACAACCAGGAGTACTTTGAGCGGCACCGCTGGCCCCCGGTGTGGTACCTGAAGGAGGAAGACCACTACCAGCGCGTGAAGAGGGAGCGGGAGAAGGAAGACATTGCACTAAACAAACATCACTCGAGACGCAAGTGGTGCTTCTGGAATTCGTCTCCAGCAGTGGCCTGAAGAGGAAGCAAAATCACCCAGTAACCTGACACACCCCTTTTCAAAGCACTGCTGTAAAATTAGTCTTCTGAGAGATGCAATGTAGTTCAGGTTTCAGGCACTGACCTTCTTCCACTTTTGTGCATTTATCTTTGTTAGGATCAAAGCACAAGCTCACCATCTATGAGCCTGGACAAAAAGGGAAGCTGACTCTCACTGCATTCCTTAAACTAACACTTATATTTTTTGTTAGCCGGCTTAATAAACTTTAGTCCGTTATTTTGTTTCTTTTTATACAAAGAAAATATCCAGCTTTCATGTTTCAGATTCCAAATTGGAAAATATTTTTATACGGTCTCTTGTATTTTGTTGAAATGAAAATACTGTGTATTACTTTATTTTACAGGCCACAAACTGACCATGACATTGCCTTGTGCGTCCCTGGGCCCACATGACCACCGCACATTATTGTGGAATTAGAGGGTTATCTTCCTGTTGTGAAGGAAAGGGTTGGGCTGAGATCCCTCAGAGTGCGAGTTGAAAGTGCTTAATCTCTGTTCTGCTGAATAACATCGGTCTAATTACCAACTCAACTCCAAGAATGTGTATTTACAATATTTGCTGTGTAAGTGCTAGTAATTATATGGTTATATGTGCCATGTAAAATATAGTGATAGCAAATATTCCTTGTTTAAAATGTCTTAGATTCAAGAGGATAATCTTTATAATCATTAGAAGGGCTTATTAAATCACAGCATTATCCAGGGCAGACTCCCTCGTGGACCTGAATACATTTGATACCGTCAGAGCATCGGTGTTTGGATCGCTGAATTAGGGTTTTTGTCTCGCAGTATTCCTTGCTCTGGCCGTGCTTCTGCTTGCAGACTCTCCACTGACTTGAATTGAGATGGGCAGGGGAAAAGGTCCCTGGACTTATCCCACCATCCACAGGTTTGTCACCTCTCACTACCAGAAACAGGCTTCCTCGGGTCTCCCACCTGCAGCCAGTTTCATTTTGTAAAACATATTTTTAACTCTTCCCAGGGAAAATTCATGTTGCTGCAGAAATAGGCTAAGGTGTTCCACCACTCACCACTTCTGCTGAAATTCAGCGGGGCCCCTGAGCGCTCACAGCTGCAGGCGAGGGGTCCCTGCCTTCTTCAACACAGAAAGGAGTCTAATCCCAGGAGTCTAGGATATGGTGCTATTGTGAGTTAGTTTTGACCCTCGGTCCTTCTGAGTTCTCAGTGTTAAAATACAAAATGTTGAGCCAGAAGCTTTCAAGAGACGGTCAGTCACTGCTTCTCCATAAATTAAAATGCTGCAGCACATACGGAGCGTCGTAAGGCCACCGCTGCAGGCCTGCCGTGGGATGCTGTGTGGCAGGGACGGGCTCACCCTGCTGCAAGGCCAACTTTCCAGTGCTAAGGGCTGCTGATTTCATCTTCATTTTCTTCTGTCTTTTCCAAAGATGGAAAAGAGACAGTCGACTCCAAACCCCAGTGCTACAGCCATGTGCATTCGAAAATCTGTCTAGATTACAGATGGGCATAGTTGTTCCTGGCAATGGAAACACACAAGAGTGTAGAGAGGTTCAGAAACACGTCACCTCTTGTGACAAAAGAGGGGGCAGTGGAGTGAGTATGATGATAAATACGTCCACTGTATTTCTTAAAGTAAGGTTGTAAATGATCAATGGAAGAAGACATGAGCCCAAATGAGAGGGTAAAAGTCAAGACTCGGGGAGAACTGACATGGACCCCATCAGGAGATGACAGAGGTTGAGTTTCCAGTGAGTGGTCCTAGTTGAATTTATACAACCAAAGCTCCCATTTGATTGTAATCTTGCCAAAATGTAATGGACATACAAGTGGATGTGGGGTACAAGCAATAATATCCACTAATGTTGTTATCAGCTGCTGTAACCAAGTGGCTGGTTCATTTGGTTGATGCTGATTATGGCCTTTAACCATGGTGGTTTGTTTCATGTTTTTTATTTCACAAAAAGTCAATAAAACTGTTTAGCTATAAAATGCCTCCGGTTTTGTTTTAAGAACTACTGTCATGCCATGTGTGTAATTTAATAGCTTTTAAAGACTGTCAGCACTGTAAAGGTTCTGGGTCACTGAGACATGTGTGATTCAGTAACAAAGCAGTTTGAATGATTGGTATCACTGTTTTTAGTATTGTTGACACAGATCCTGATACCACGATGTAAATGAAGCATCTGATTCTTTACTCTTCAAAAGCGTTGTATTACTAGACGTGGCACAGCCTTGAGGTGGGGAGTGGCCCATCTCTGTACTGGTGGAATGATTATAATCTCCACTTGGGCAATCTGCCAGCAATTAAGAGAAAGGTCTGGGCTGATGGACTCATGAAGAAGTCTTTCCTTCAGAAGCAGAGGTGAGAAAGACTTTGGGAGCATCTTATAGAGGCTGTAATGCTTACCCAGGGAGGACTTTTCTGAGCAGCAGGTTCTCTGTAACTCCGTTGGAAGGAGTTGACCACTACAGAAAGTACCTGTGGAAAAATGGATTTCCAGCATATTCCTAAACCTTTTAAAGGCAGGTGCTCTTCTTGGTGAGGACACCTTTTACATAGTTATACCAGTGGAGTCTTCCCAAAGGGCTGGAAAATCATCACAAGGGCCAGGGATATAGCTCAGTGGCATAATGCCTTGCCTGGCAAGCACAAGGCCCTGAGTTCAATTCCGAGTACCCACCCCCAAAAAATCACAAATTTCAACATCCTTATAATAGCATTTGGGGAATCACGTATTCAGCTGGGTTAGAGGGAGCTACAATATTTTCATTATGCATACTCAAATGCAAAAGTTCAATGTTTCTGAGTTTCTTTCAAACTTGCTTCTATTATATGATATATCAGTTGTCAAAATTCAGTATTTTTTTGAGTATTTCTTAACAGAGTGTGTATGTGTGTGTGTGTGTGTGTGTGTGTGTATAACCTGATTGGATGCCAGTGGGCAAGCAGCAATAATTTCTTTTTTCTAAAAGAACGTGGCTATTGCATGAAAGTTGTAAAGGTGAAAGTTAACCAAGGAGCATGTATATGTTTGCGTTTCGTAAGTCTGATGTGTAAATGCAAGTAATTAAGAAGCTGCCTCACAAAACAAAAACAAGCAAACAAACAAAAAATAAAACTAACATCAAAAGAAGAGAGAGATGAAGAGAAAAGCCCTTGGCCAAAGCCATGGAAACTGAATGACACGCTCCAGGCCACAGTGCACTGTCTGTCTTCCAAAGTGCTAATATATAAGATTGTCATACATCTTGTGACTTATTTTGTTTTCCAGTGAAGACTTTGGGGTCTTAAACTTCTAATTAAAATGTAGTAGTGTGTACAACATGAGAGGCATAGACCTCGAAGCAAAGGCATCTGTGGGGAGCACAGCTGACCTGCAGCTGCTGTGCTCGTACAGAAGCAGCGCCTTTCTGTCTGGCCGCACTTGAGAGCCCATCCTGCACTGGCAGTGTGTCTTGGTTACTTTTTTTGTTGCTGAGACAAAAATACCCGACGCCCAAAATGAAGGAAGGAAAGGTTTATTTAGCTCACTGTTTGTGGAGGTTTCAGTCCCTACCCAGCTGGCTCCAAGGCAGAGTGGCACATAGCAGAGGGCAAACGTTTATGGTAGCAGAAAATAGCAAAAACAATAAGAGCAAAAAGGGGGGTTGGCGAGAGTAAGCCTCTTTTTTTTTTTTTTTAATATTGTAGGCAGGCTATCCCCACCTAAGGGCCATGTAGCTCCCACATAAGCTCCATGCCCTCCTCTTGCACAGGCCCAGGATGAATATAAAGTAAGCACCCTGGCTCCCTGCTGAGTCACACAGTTAACCTTTCAAACTTCTCAAATTGACACAATGAACAACATTCCAGAAGGGTAAGGGCATGTCCTTTTTACCCCAGGATGTAAAACTGCTGAGTCACTCAGCCAAACCTCCAGACTCCCCAAGTTGACACAATATATCAACCATAACACAATGACTCTAAATTGAATAATTTTGCTTAATTGAGATGCAGGGTCTTTCACTGGGTAAATGTGCAGGTGCTCATCAGTTAGATAATTGTAGACCATAGTCCAAAATATATGGAGATAATTTATAGAGAGATACTGTGGAGATGGACACCGGTAAATCATGCCATGCACACCCACAGCCAGGAGCATGCTGTAACCAGCAGTAGCCAACACGATGTGACTTGCCAGGAACTCCCTGCTGTTGCTCACCGTTCCCATCCAACAGAACATCTTAGTGACATGTATTTCCACAGCCTGGAGATGGAATGAGAACTCTCTACATGTGACACCAAGGAAAGAATATTTATTAAGCGCTTTGTGTCTGAACATTTTGCAATCCCAAAGAAAACCATGGTCGATGTAACAGGACATCATTGAAGAAAGAGCTTGATTCATTTCTTTGTGCTTGGATACCAAAGTTAGGTTATTCCTTTCTATATATGTACTTTATATCCTTTATTATCTCTTTTTATGTACCTTACTGATTCATGGTCATCCCCGCTAGAGTGATTCATTCATGGAATGTTGTATTTAACTGCCCTGTGAATGGATACACAGCCTGTCTTTGCTTGAGTCTTCTAGAAAATGGGAACAGGTTTCACTGAGTTTCCAGCACAAACTAAAGAAGATAATTTAGGTAAAGCATGTGATACAATTCTTTGCACATATTAAGTGCTCTGTAAATGGAAGTTAAACAGAAATGGCAAACCTGTATGTTGAAAATCGCGGCAAGAGATCCAAGGGAAGACAACTGTGCATGTCACAGAGTAGGATTGTGTGGTCTTCTCCTGCTTGTTTCTTCACTCAAGCACCAGTCTTGCTTCTTGGTGCTTCATAAAGGTGCTTAAAGGATCAAGAACTAAGACCTGTGGGACCTTTGGGCAGGGGGCACTGAAGGGAAAGAGTAGGGGGAGAGGACAGAAGGTGACACGCAGAGGACACTTCTTCCCACTGTGCCTCCACTGTTGCATAGGGGTTGCATGGGGCTGGGCCATCACAGGCCAAGCTTGTGGAGGCTCTGATTCACTTGGAGTGCTGCCTTTTTTATTTCTCTCCATCTTGTTTTTCTTACACTTCTTGAAGGTTGGACATAAAAAGTCTAGTTAGCCATCATCTTGGTTTGTTTCTGTTGCTATAATGGGACACCCCAGAATGGGCAACTTAGACAGAGGATGTATTTTATTTAGCTTATAGTGCTAGAGCCAGGGAATTCTAAGTGGCATCTGTGCAGCACCTGTTGAGGCTGCATTATACATGGCAAAGGGCATCACATAGCACGACAGAGCAAACACATCAGCTCAGGTCTCTTTTCCTCTTATAAAGACACCCATCTCATGGTGAGGGCCCGACCTGAGCTTATGTATTTCTAATTACCTATTAAAGACCCTAAATACCATAAGAATTTGGGATTAAGTTTCTAAAACATCACATGTTAGCGGACACGTTCAAACCAGAGTAGCCATGTTCCTCGGTGCTTCCCACACTGTCCTCTCCAGCCAGGGTGGGCCCTTTACTATTCTTTCCTTCTCCATAGCATCCATGCCTGCAGCATGTTCCATGTGTGTCTTTAAATGTGAGAGCGTTCTGTTATACAGTTTTGTGTCATGTTCGTAGTTGTTGTATTATAAGTGGTTCTTCAAAACAAGTTTTATTCTATTTGCTCTCCTGACTCCACACTGGCATGGAAATCTGTGTTATAATGCTGCTGTGCGCACCCCATCTTACTTCCTGTGGCCACCCCGTATGCCACAGACTGCATCCCAACATTGCACACTCCCGTCCTACTGCTGGCAGACCACTCATCAGCTCCTGCTCCCTGGTGCTACAGTGAGCTTCCTTGTACATCCCCTGGAGTCCCATACTAGGCATACTGAATCAAAGCCTCATAAGGTGATGGACATGTGTGGGGACATTGGACTCAATGAGGAAAATCTAACCCTTCACCCCTCAGTGAGACAGTGTGATTCAAGAGTCATCAGAATCTGAAAGGCTCTGACTCAGCCCAGCAAGTAGAGAGGAAGTTGAGCTTCCTACTACTCGGGAGGCCTGAAGAGACTTGTCGGATGTCAAAGGTGTGTGGTTTTTCATATCATCTGACCTTCGTGAAAGGCAAATGGCCTAGGTGTCTTCTCAAGAACCCCTTAAATATTAAAATGCTGAGTCTTCCTTTAAATAATTCCTTAGTTTGATTAATGATTTCATTGTATACAGATATCAAGAAATCATTTCATACACTCTAAGTATGTACAACTTTTGTCAGTTATACCATGAAGCTCAGGGGGAAAGAATTCCCTGCTGAGCTTATGCACATACACTGAAAGTTGCCTTCTAGTTTTATTTCATGTGTGAAATCTAAAGAAAAATTAACTTCCCTTTATCTTTAGTACCACTGTTGTGACTGCCTCAATATCCTGAATTAATTCAATACATCTACCTTTCACGGTCATTTTGACTTTGGGGGAAGAGCCAGAAGTCACATAGTATGAGATCCAGTGAATAAGGTGGATGAGGACACGCCATAATATTTTTACAAGTCTGGCTTTCCATTGGATAGAATCAGCAGCAGCAGTTGTAGTTTTGATCACACCTAGTAAAGACACTCACGAAAGAAGACTTCCAGAATGGCTGCAGAAAGAGGCAAGAATGACAAGATAAATGTATTCAAAGCAAAGGGGAGCATTAGGGGATTAATAGCAACATGTCTTTTATTGTAATAAATATTTTTTTAAATTTAAACATTCACCATATCTTGAACACAAAACTTCCTTTCTCCTAGTATCCTGCCACAGGTGGTACACCAGAGTGCCACCATCTAGTTAGATGGAGGGCCTTCAAACCACTGTGATTTCTCTCAGCCCCACCCCCATTGGCATACTTGGATTACAAAAATATTCCTTCATTTTATAGACCTGATTTCCTCAAAAATAAGTCATCATTCAAAATGACCAAGCATCTGAAATATTAAACCCTTTGAGAAATAGGCTTATCAATCTAGAA